GGTATGAAAAGGGTCTTTGTCCCTCAAGAAGTCCTTAAAGGAAATAGATCACATTTTGAAAGACCAGCCCAAATACCACTGACTTTACTTCTGTTAAAGCTAAAGAGAACACTCATTATTTACCTCCCACTACTGACCTCTCCTTTTTGTACAGACTGCATGTTTCCCACTTTTCTCTTTGGCAATAGGGAGAACTTTCCCATTAACACTGCCTCTATACCAGGAATACTTGGTATCTGTTCTGTCAGGTGGTCTGTCTGCTAAGTATTTAGTCAAACTCAGAGTTGTTGCTCTTGGCATGTATTTACCTTTAGTGGTTGGTTCAGGTTTGGGTCAAAAAAGTCTATGTGCATGATTTTTGCTCTAATAAGATACTACCACTAACTTTACAAATCTCACTTAAAGTCCCATGACTACAGTAACACTATTTCTGTAAGAGCAATGTAACTCCAGGTGGAAAAGATTCTCATTTTGGCTGACTTCAATTTTGTGGATTGATAAAACTTTGTGTGTGTGTGTTTGAGTTTTTTTCCATTTTTAGTGTCTGTGTGTCCATATAGACAGGAAGCCATTTTATTCTGGAACCTTAATGTTTTTTTTCCCTTAACCTTCAGAAGACTTTTGAGCCCCTTGCACATTTCTTTTTATCTTTCTCTCCAAAAAAGATCAGTTTTCATGTTAGATATTACTTCATTAGAAGAGTTGTGAGTTCAGAACTCTGTGAGCATGTTCATTTGAGTAAGGCACCTCTTTAAAAACTAAGCACAAAATACTGCTTTTCAAACTTTAACTTTCTTGTTTTTGTAAGCCCTAAATACAGAATGCACAAGAGGACAACTGTTATTAGAAAATAATTTGTATTTTTACCCATCAAGGAGTAAATACTGTAAATGGATATCCCATGCAAGTCTACCTGTATTACACAGCCTGCCTCCATGTTAAATGCAAACAGACGTGGTTGTACTGGCTCTATAGGCTGCCATCTCAGTGTAGCAGAGGAATGTGTGTGCTGGGTTTTTGTGTTGTTTGGGGGAGAGGCTGAGTAAAAGCCTCAGGTTCAGCATTCTCTACTTCTGCAGCAGATCTGCTATTCCAATGCTGTTACTACAGTGGTGAAAATGTAACTGCCTACTCAAAAATGTGTGTAGGAAAACAGTATTTAGGGCCACATTGCTATTCCATTGCTTTTTCTGTTCTCTGATGCCTTACAGACCAGTGGTGATGCTGCCAGTGTAGCTTTACTATATGGTTGTAACTGACAAACATAATTTAAATGGTTTGTTACAATACTTCCTTCTATTGTGTGTCAAATAGCATTTCATGTCTTGATTTGAAACAAGGTTTCCTCACACATATTTGGCTGGAAATAGAGAGGTGAAATACCATTTTTATTTTTTATTTTTTCCCCTGTTATCCTGAGAAGTTCATTGACACCAATTGTATGCGTTCAGCTCATCAGAAAAACTTTTTTTTGCTTTTGCATCAGCTGGTGCTTGAAATGATTGTATGGGAGCTATGGTTCTGAAATCAGTTGGATCTGCCACCCTGCAATTAATTAAAGCAATACTGAATTTTTGCAGGCTCTCTTAAAAAAGGTTGTTTCGTGCTAGACCAACTTTCTGTTAGTTAGCATGTCTGTGGCATTCTGGCTGCCTGCAAGGCAGAGGTTTTGATTAATTACTGGCAGTATTGTTTAAATTGCAGGCACCTGCTTAAGAAGGTGGAGTACACGATGTGTCACCTGTCTTCAGGACTGCTTGTAATGAGCTGAAATTGGGGATGAGAGTGACTACATCAAGTAGGACTGGCTGCTATAGAAAAAGCTGGAATAATGACACTCGCCAGGTCAATGATGTGAATTGAGGGATTGTCTGTCATTGCCCTTAAATTCATAATTTAAGGGTGGTTTTAATGGAGTGAGAGGAGGTAGGCAACCACACCTTTCAGCATCTCTGAATGCTTGAGCTGCCGTCTTCACTGTCTGGTTACAGTCGGTCTTGGAGAGTTAAATTAGTGAGCAGAGAAGTTTAAGATTATGTTCTGTTTATGAAGCATATTGCACAGTTCTGCTTGTTTCCTCTGGCTGCTCAGTATGCCAGCTGTCTGAAGCATTTTCATGCATCCTGCTATGTGCTCGGCAGGACTAGAGCAAAGTCAGTGCACTATTCCCTGCCTCATATACTACCTTACAGTACTGTCCCCAGGCTTCACTATGTTTTGACTTGACTTCTGACTGCAATCTCATCTTGTGCACCTATTTGGCATGTTTCTCAGCTTCTCTTTACAGACCTTTGACCCTGCTCATGACTATTTCTTGCACAGATCGACTTGGTACAGCCTTTGAATTTTCAGATTCCTGTCTATTTACTGAGCATGAAAATATGGGGTAAGAGTAAAGGTCTGTATAGTCTTGTGCTCTGTTTTAAAAAGTGGTTATGAAAAGAGTATATGAGGAAAGGCAAGTTCCCTTGATGTGTACTTTCAGTTTTTACTGGTGCCTGAGAGTTTCAATTTCACTTAAGCTGTTGGACTTAGCCACTACAGGGCTGATAGTTGGTGTCTTACAGGATCTTAAATTGCTGTTTAATGTTAAAACAAGAATTCTGTCAGCTTTTTAGTCTGATCCCTAAGGAAGCAACACTTAATATGATCAGCCTGTCTATTAGGTTAAGATTTGATGTGATAGGTTGAAATAGTGATGGCTTCATACATATTTGAAAGAAATAGTGAATGAAAATAGTGTGTGAACCACAAAGAAAAAAAAAAAATGAACTTAACTTACAGCCTATTTTGTATCATATAATTTAAAAGGCAGGACAAATCCACAGGAAACCAAGCTTTCAGTTGTCTCTGTTCTTATTCAGAATGCCTTAATAGTTTTTTTGGGGTTTTTTTTTGTTTTTTGTATGTGAGTGTGTGAGTGTTTGTGGTGTTGCCCATTTGTAAGATAACTTGCAGTGTGTTATTTTGTGGCTTGGTAACATTGCAGTAACTTGCTTCTGGGAAGGTTGTAAACAGTAAAGCTTCCAGGTTAACAATGCTTGCCTGTGCAGTTTTAGATATAGATTACATTAGTGGCTAGAGACTCAAAATTGGTAAGTTGTCTATAGTATGATGTTTCTATCATACTGCCCTAAGTAAAATCTATCTGCTTGCCTAATTTTGTGTCTTATAAAGAAGACCCTGCTTGCAGTGTATCCTCAGATAAGAGTCTTGGAGCTCTGGAATTATCTTGTTCGTTCCTTGGCCTGATATCACGCGTTCCATCATTTGGGCCTAATGTAAAAGAAACTTCAGGGTGAAGGCTGAGGGTATTTGAGTCTTTCTTGCTTTCTTTTACTTGATAATGTTGATTTTGCTACGGAATACTGATTCGCAGCAGTAGAGGAAACTCAGGATCAGCATCACTAAGAAAGAAAATGACAGAATTATGAAACCAAGTATGCTTTCTTTTGCATTTTTTTTTTATTGCTTGTTCTGGTTTTTTGTTTGTGGGTTTTTTTTTTTTCTTTTTTGTGTATGGTTGTTTTGGGGTTTGTTTTGGGTTGTTTGGTTTTTTTCGCCTTTCCACAGCGGTAACCCCAGCTGGCCCATGATGATCTTTACTCCCCTAGCAAGCATTGTTCTATGGATGTTGTCGAAGAGCAGGCATGTAGGAAAAAGTGCAAGAGTATCGTAACTTTTCTCTGATATACTGTCTCCTAAGTTTTGGCAACTTGTGTGATAAAAGCAGTATTTCTGAGGTTGGCTGAATGTTTGGGAACTCGTAAAACATGACAGAGTAGTTTCAAAGAACTGTAGAAGGATTTTGGTGAGTTGCTGGCTAAACAGGCAGTGGGGTAACACCAGAACCAGCACCTTTTGCTGAGTACAGGACTGTAATTCCTTACACCGTTGTGCTGGGTTTGTTGGGTTTTTTTCCACACTTTAAGCACTGGCTGATCCATTAATGCAGCAAATCTATCCTTGACAAAAGAAGATTATACAGCTAGTGTCAGTGAACTCATCTCGCGGTGGTTGGAAATATGAAAACTGTATTTTGTATTTTATTTTGGGCAAATAGAATAGCTAATGGTGACTCTTGAACCTTCAAATAAGATTACAAGATACAAAAATGATAAAAAAGGTATTTGAAGACAACCTGCTTAAATTAAAGTATGAAGTAGTATATTTGAAGATGCTCCTCTTGTAGTGCTTTTTCACACTGCAAAAGAGTTGTATATGCTACTTACTATTTTGTAAATGGTCGTCAGTGTCCTTGTGACAGACATGCATGGAGAGGATATTATGGATTGATTTCTGATTCTTGCTCATATTTTGTTTCTGGCTATGTATGAGAGGTTTCCCACTGAGCCAGGAAGAGGATGCCTGAGATCTGGCTCATCTAGTATGAGGAACAGGCAAACAGGTGACAGAAAATAAGCATCCTTTTTCCTTTGATGCTGATTCCCCAGAAAAGATTAAATAATCAGTGCGTGGAATATCTTTGATGGTGTACCTCCAGTAAAGCTGAGCTGTCATGGAAAACAAAAGATCTAAAGACAGTGACAGTTTGACCAACAGGATCTCTTTTGGAAGCACTTGCTTAGGGAGATTCCTGCTACTTTGCTGGGTTGGGGTTGGCTATAGATTTTGTGATTTTTGTGGTAGGAGGAAATGGCCTATAGTTAGCCACAGCTGCTTTGTTGCAGAAAACTATGCATAATACATACAATCATGTTTCAAATTATCTGTGATGTATATGTATTGGTCTATTAAAAATTGAACAAGTACAAAGTGCCAAAATTGTGCAAATGGTTTTCCTCACAGTAATTAATGAAAGTATTTCAATAGAACTGCAATAATTCAGCTGAGTATTTAAGTTTTGCAGTGTAATATAGTTCAGTAGTTATGTACTTGTACCAAAATTTTTGTCCAGAGGACCACTGGGGGAAAAACATTTTTCAAACAAAGGGGAAGTAAAGGTTGGTTTGCTTGTTTTTGTTTTCTTTCCTCTTCAGCTCTAATCAAATACATCCGACCAGTATTTGTATCTCGATCAGACCAGGATTCTCGCAGGAAAACTGTTGAAGAGATAAAGAGGCGTGCTCAGTCTGACGGTAAATGGCCACAGGTACTGTATTATTACTCCTGTGTGACAGATGGTGTTTGGAATTTCCAGGCTTTGGATATACAGTTTACCTTTCTGTTTGTGGGGGGTGGGATGTCCCATGCCCCCCTTCCTAGAAGATATAATGTGAGATTGTTATCTGTACAAAACGCTAGCTGTTCATTGCAGTATTTTTCAAGGGGACATTGGGTAAGTAAGTGGGAAGACAGCTCTATTAAGGGATGCTAAATGGATTGAACACAGGAGGTTTAAAAAGTCTGCTGAGAAGAGAATAATCGGGTGCTCAGCAGCATACCTGGAGGAGTGTTGTGTGTTCTTCCCCTTCTCAAGGTTTTGGCATACTGTCATTGTTGGAGATGCAATACTGGCCAAGACAGCCCAAGCAATTCAGATGTTCCAGTAACTGGAGTACACCTCAACTGGACCATGTGATGAAAACATTGCTAGAATAAGTGGCTCAGGGTATTTTCTGCACCTGAAATGTGACTATTTACAATGTGCCTTGGAAGAGAGTAATAAGGAAGGGATGACTACCTAAGGTCTCAGTTTTCTAGAATCATGTGATTATTTTAAAAATTCAAAGCATTCTTGTGAGTTTTTGAGATTAAGATCCAGTATGTCTTTCATGGCATTGTTACTACTACAGTGGTTACATCTGTGTACTGGAATACAGAAACATTATAAACAGTTATAATGTGGCAGAAAGGTGATACACAGCTTTCACATCATGAGTTTCATTAATGGATTTCAAAGCACTTAAAGTAAATATTCTTACTTACAGATAAAGAAACTGAGTTGCAGAGCTGAAGTGACTTCCAGAATATCTAGCAAGCTTGTATCAGAGTGGTCAATAAAACTAGTGATGTTAATTTTCGTCCATTGCTTTGTCCCCTTATGATATATATTTATTTCCTTTAAATGTCTTGTTCCGTAACTCAACAAAATTTCAGCAGTTCTTGGCTTTTTGCTGTCAAACTTTTTTTTAAGTCTAACCTCTTCCTCTGAATTCGATTCAACTTGATCGTTTTTTGCCTTGTTAGAATTCTGTTTAGTTATTTCCAGCCTCTATCATTCTGACATCTGTGCACATACCAAGTAATAAATGCAACACGAAAATAAGTCTTCCTTTTCTTAGCCTATAAGCAGGAAGCTTGGGAGCAGGAATTGCATTTTGGTGCAAAACAGAATATGATATTTTTACCAGCACCAAAATCTTTTGTGAAATTTCTGTTGTACTCACAAGTGTTTCTGGTTGCTGTCAATGTTCCAATTGAATAGAACTATTATTGGACATCAAGAAAGAGGCAAATTCACTGATAAAGAAAAATATTTTTAATATTAAGACAGAACTTTACTTGACTTCTTTGAGCACTATTTTTTTTCTCTAACTGAACTGTTTTTCCCTGAAAACATTTTTACTGTAATCAGTTAATGTTAGCTTTGGAAATATGTGTTTATAAATAAATCCACACTGAAATAGATCTTAAAAGTCAACTTTTTTTTTACTTCAAGATAATGATATTCCCAGAGGGCACTTGCACAAACCGATCCTGTCTAATTACATTCAAGCCTGGTAGGTATGATGCTCATTTCTCTGTTCTCTACAGAATGTTCTTGTATCTTCGTTTTCTGAAAAATACCACTTGCATTGTAATGTGCTTGCTGTTGCAGAAGTTGAGTTAAAAATCTTGCAGTAGGGTGGAACTGGAATAGAAATTCTCTGGTGCTGCAAAAGGATTGTAGTTCCACTGAGCTAAACATTTTAGATAATTCAGATTTTTTTCTTGGCTTCTGAGATGCATATGAGGTGGAGGACTAGTGTTTCTTACTGGGTTTTTGCTTGTGGTTGTCTCTTTTTTTCTTTTTCTATTTTTCTTGCCCTCTCCTTGTCCTGTTTTGGATCTGTCATGCAGCATTTAGATAAGCTTAAGGTATCAGGCTGATGCAGCATTTGTTGCTGTGTTGTATGTGGTTGATTCCTCTCCAGCTCTTCTGTTGAGTGCATTCTGGTGGAGATGGTACAAGACTCTTGCCACTATGGTACTTTACAGAGGCTGTCGTTTTTTACAGTATTTTCTTATTTGACGTCCACATTCTAAGCTTTTTTTTGGTTAGCATCACCATTTTAGTGTATCAAATTAGCAGAGGATGGAAAAACTGAACATTTTTGCAGCTGTGAACTGCAGTTACAATAGGGAGAAATGCCAATACTGCAGTGAACCACCAATGTTTAATGTAAACTTGCTTTTCTGATGTAGGTAGGGAGATGGTGAATGAGGAGGCTGCAGTGAGTGAGGCAGTTGTGAATGTGGTTTTTGACTCTTCCTAGGTTTCTGCCTAGCACATTGTGTTTTAGTCTGACTGTGTGTCTTATATTTTATGTTGCTTACAACTTACATATTGCTATTAGAATATCATACAATGAGTCAGCATTGTCATTCCTAGCACCGATGCATTTGGCTGAAGGAATCTTGGTATTGTCTCCTGAACAAACATTCAGAAAGCTTTTCTTCCTCCCCTCTCAGCTCTTACCTTTTTAGATGAATGAGTGGTGGTTAGGAGAACATCTGCTTCTTTCCCTCTTTGCTCTCCCTCTCCTCCTCTCTCCACCTGAATCCTGGTCATGCTTTAAAAACCAGTCTGAATCCGTCATTAAAGCTCTGATTTCCTGTCCTCCCTCTGTGCCATAGACATTCCAGGCACCATATAATTTCTGCCTCAGATCCGCACTCTGTCTTCCTCTCCTCTGGTCTGGTACATGCTGCTGTCTATCTCTTGACTGTCTCACTTTTCCACTGGAACCTGCTTCTGTATCCATCCAGCCTCCCAGAAATCCTTTACCTCAAGATTCCTCACTTATATCAAATTACTTTAGGTCTCTATTCAAGTAACTGCTTTCAGGATGCCATTCCCTCATGTGGTCTACACTCCTTGCTTTTACTACGCAGTTTTTTGGTTTGGTGTTTGTGCAAGCTAGTCATACAGGGGAAGCTAGTCTAGCTTTGTTTAAACAGTGGTGGTGTCATCACCCAGATTTTGTCATCTTCAGATTCTTTCAAAAGTTGCTTAGGATGTTGGTCTTGGAGACTGAATAGAAAGTACCACTGGGTCAAGAACAAAATCTCTGCAGGATCCCATTCAAGCAACCTTCATTTAAAGATGTTTATACTCCATTAACAATATTTCTTTTATATCTTGGCAATTATTCTGTAAAGCAAATGTAATGCTAAGAATACAGTATACTTCCATCGTTTCATTCTTAATTTTACTCAAAATACTAGGCAGAACTTAGTAAATTGCTATAAATAACATAGTTTGAGTGAAGCTGTCTTTATTAATTAATTGTTTTTATGAGAAAAAGATGTTTAGAGAAATCTTGAGCAAGATAGTTATCATGCTTACCCAATCTTTGTGCTAGAAACTAAGACAATGATTAGCAAATGACACTTAAAGATCAGCAAATGACACTTAGAGATCTTGCGCTACTTATTTTTTAGAAATGTAATTTTCATATCAAATGAAGTTATACTTCTGTACAGTAGCTCTAGTTCAGTACTTTCTAACTATTAGATTCTTCCATAGCCACAGAATAGAAGTTGTATGAATTCTGTTAATTCAGAGATTACAAATTTCCTATAAATTGACGTTGCTCAGCTGAAAATAGAAAGCTTTTGCATAAGAAAACTTTAGGTTCTTCACCAAAAAGTACTGTTGACCACAGGGAATATATTGACTTAACTGTCTTGCACATCTGCATATTTTTTCAATCATTTATCAAGCTGAATTTGGTACTGAGCTTTGCCTTGTTTACATGACAACTTATGTAAGTGTTAGAGGATAATTTAGAGAATGTAAGTATGCATTCTCAATTATTTATCTGCTGAAAAGGTGGGTATACACTGTCATTCTCCAGTGCTTGCTTTTTGGATTACTTTTGAGGCTACATTTGGATCTTATTTTTTCACTATCAATTAATGCATATTATGCATATCAGCCCATTAATTGTATAATGTTTTTCCTTGCTGCAATAAATTTCTTCTGTACCAAAATGCACTATAAAGTAATTATGTGTCATATGTGCCTTCTAGGAGCATTTATTCCTGGAGTTCCAGTACAGCCAGTGGTTTTACGTTATCCAAACAAACTGGTAAGTTCTGTGTGCAGTGTAGTTGGAAATATGGGGTATTTTCCTCTTAATATGTTGCCACTTCTCAAATCTTTTAGGCTAGATAATTAGGTTTAGAAATTTGGAAAGCATTAATAAATGCTTATTAGATAAGCATGTATTCCTTGAGCTTCTAGCAATATAGTCTTAACTGAGAAAGTTTAAATGTTTCTGCTTTTATTAGGTTACTCCTAAACAGTGCTTGAAGTTATTCAGGTTGTTGCAAGAAGAACTGTACAAACAACAAGACAAATCATAAAAACATATGATGGTTTGGGGTGGAAGGGACTTTGAAGATCACCTAGTTCCACCCCCCCTGCCATGGGCAGGGACACCTCCCACTAGACCAGGTTGCTCAAAGCCCCATCAAACCTGGCCTTGAACACTTCCAGGGATGGGGCCTCCACAACTTCTCTGGGCAACCTGTTCCGGTGTCTCACCACCCTCAGAGTAAAGAATTTCTTCCTAATATCTATCCTAAATCTACCCTCTTTCAGTCAATTTCTGTCTAGGATCTGTGTTCCCATGTGCTCCCTGTTACTGCAGTGTGTGCTGCAGAGTTTTCTTAATATCATTAATTGCTGGGAGATGTGTCTGCATCTTTTGTCTGTGGGGGTGTTAGTCAGAAATTAACACAACTAGCTAAACGATAATAGAATAATGTGTTGAGGACCTCAGCACCTTTATAAGGCATCTTGTCCATGTTTTACATGCACTGTGCACTTGGCTAAGGAATGCTAGACACTAGGTAATTTGGAGTAGTTCTTCAATATAAATCATTTGGGTAAAATGCAAAGTATAGTGTTTATTTGCAATATCTAAATTAAACAGTTTTTACAAATGCTTGTAAAGATATAGGCAAACAAATTAAGACAAAGCTCACTTCATCTACCTCAAGATCAAGCCTGCAAGAAGAGGGATTTATTTTTTTAATTATTATTCGATTTACCTGATGTAGATACTTTCCTGTCCTACTGCAGCCAGAATCCTGTCTTTCTGCATTCCTTGGTTAATTACAATATGCTTCCTAGTGAACTTTACTAGCCTTTATACTTGCAATTTCTTTTTGAGCCCTCTGGGGCTGTTTTTGGGTCCAGTCTGTCCCCTTCTAAAATAGAAGTTATTTAGGGGAGGGTGGAAGGAGCGTCAGAAGTAAAATAAGGATTACCTTGCCTTTTTGCTGATGCGTGTCACATCAGAAGTTCTCACGTCATCTCTCTCTGACTAGTCCATTAACAAACCCTTGATCTGAGGAAGGATTTTGTTTCCTCTTGGTACCTGAGTGCTTATGTTTTATACGTGTTTCCATCCATTGTTCTTTCTATTTACAGGTTGATATAAAACATATGTTTGATTAAAAAAGAAAAGAACCTAAGTAAAGTTAATATACATAGACCACTATTTGCTCTTGACTGAGACAAGGTGTGATAGCAGTCAACTAGTTTGCAGTAACAAAGCCAAAAATTATTTTTGTGGATGCTGTGACAAATATAGCCGCCTGTTGTGCTCACATAATATTAAGTGCATTGTAGCAGGTTGCCTGGGACTTTTCATTACATAATTGTTTATTTTCAGGAAGAGAGATTATTTTCAAAAAATATCTTTAAAATTTTGTTGCACTACCAGTTTAAATTGCAAATATGCACATGCCTTATGTCATACTCAGTATACCTTGTTTCTTTTGCTTATTATTAAACTTATTTATAAAGCTATCAAATATTAATATGCAAATATTGTCAGAAATCCATTTTCATACTGAAATGTCCTTGTTACTTGTAGTACATAATATGCAATGTTTGTAAACTAGTATTAAATGTTCCTAATACTCTATTAACAGAAATTGTAAGCTTTTTACATTGAAGTAAATAAATATAAATTTGAATGAAACTTTTCATAATTTTTTTATATTACTGCAATATATCGTAAAAGTATCTGTAAATATTTTTTATAGCTATCTATCCGAGTTGGCCTGAAATCTGTGTATGGAACTTTACTTTTTCCTACTACTTCTGGATTGCTGTAAAACACTTAGTTTTCAGTGCCATACTGAGTCATTTAACCTCCTAAGGTCTACTTCTGCTAAGCATTAATGACGGGGGGATAATTGCTATTACTATTTGATTTTTATATTAGCTTGGGGGCTGCAGAAGAGTTGCAGCAATGTTAGAATGAGAAGAGGAAGGAGGAATATGATGTGATACATGAAGGTGAGGTTTATTTTGGTTAGGATGCAGCTTTGGTGTATCAGGGTTTACTGAGAATGTAAAAACAGAGCCAATCTGCTGTTTTAAGCTTGGTGTGAATAGAAATTTTATGGAAGATATGCTTCTACACAATTTGAAGCTTTCATCATCTAGACACAAGAGTTCCAAAGTGTACTCAGAATGCTGTTAAAGTGGATGCTCTCCATAAGCATAAGCTGGTAGCTGTGATAAATATAAAAAGCGTCTAAACTAGGTACGGAAAATACTGCTTCCTATCCCCTGCTTGCTGTTTCTATCATAAAAATACTGGATATGCTGTCAGGAGTCGCCTACAAAATAGGTCTGCCTCTTGCAGACCAGAATCCTGGTTTCCTTTATGGAGCATTTATAGCCATCATCCCTGTTGCATCCTGATGTTCTCGATGAGAAAAAGCGTGCATGTCTGCTGTGACATTCACATTGCGAATTTCTCTCAGGATCGTTAATAGATACATGGCTTATTTGAGTTTGTCTTGCCAGTTAGTCAGCCCAATGGCTGGATTGCTTGCTGTTCAGTGATCCATTGCCCAGGCAAGGTACCTTTGTAGAGCTCACTCTTTTCTTTTTCTCCTTCTGCACTATTGCAATTTAGAGACTTGAGCTGGATATTTGTAGTGTTGTGTTGTTGTGCCATGTGGCAGATTTAGTCTCTGATTGGAGAAATTGTCAGCTATCTACATTACAAAGGTCAGGGTTTGTAAATGAAAGTTCCTTGTGGAAAAAACAAACCCTATAACGTGTTTACTTGCAGTATTATCAGAGACATAAAAATTGCTAGAAAGAATTCAACAGTACAGCTATAAACATTAAAGTTCTACAAGATCACTACATGGAGAAGTCTATTTTCATGCATGTATGTTGATTGCTAAAGACAGAATTGTTCTTTTTTGTATCTGGTTTGATTTTAAAATAATTGTTGAAAGTCAAGATTTAAATTTTTAGTAGTAGTTCATGATATATTGACCTTAGTCCAAGCTGTTGATCTATTGCATTAATCATGATTTTCACCTTTTATGGTTGTGTTGCTTTCTTTCATTTTTACTTGTGACTTTACTTTTTTTTTTTTTTCCCTCCCCCCATTTGGTCAGAAGAGTAGCTTGGTACTCATTTTCAGGCTTTTGTATTCTTACTTCTACGCTTAAATGTCATCTCCAAGTATTACAGTTTTTACCTATGCCGTTTCTTAGTCTTACAGTTAAAAATATAATGACCTTTACTGTCATATTCCTTCTTGTCATCTGTTATATATTCAATTCCAGGTCTCTGTTCCCTTTTTGCTATTTGCATCTTGTTCACTTATTTCACTGCTATTTGTCCCCTTTGTGTTTTACACACTGTTCATCTCAGCCATCTAAAAGTGCTGCTGATCTTGCCTGAGAGTCAGTTGGTGGGTTTAGACGTCTTATAACATACCTTTACATTCTTGGATCAGGCAGGTGGATGTATGCTGTCTGTGAATAAAGCAACTGAAAAAATACTGTTTTGAGATAAGACGTAAGGTCTTACTCATCCTGCTGTTTCATGTCAGTTGGGCAGACTTTCAGTCATCTCTACAGGTCCCAAACACTTCAGAAGTGTTACAGAATGTTCGTATCTGTTGCTGGGAGGTCCAAGTAAAGTGTAGGGACATTTGAGGGACACACTGTCGAGCAGGATGAGTTAGGAAAATACACATAGAGTGTGCATATCAAGGAACATCAGCTTATGGTAGATAACTTTCTTTTCCAAGGCTAGCAGCATTTGAAGAATCCCTGGATCTTTAAATGTTTGATGAATATAGATACTCTGTGTTTACGAGCTGGATTACTGGGTATTTTCTAGCTGCATAAAGGGTAGGCTAATTCCTATTGGAGCTAAGAACTTTTGCAAAGAGGGCACTGAAGTTTCCATGAAAACCTTTTAGTCATATGTCATCAATTATACTATCTATAATATAACAAAAGTTTAAGGTACAATAATTAATTGCCACTGTCATGCTTCTTTTCTTAGGATACAATCACATGGACATGGCAAGGGCCAGGAGCGTAAGTGGTTTATATTTTATTGCTTATGTCATGATTGCTTTCCTTCATTAGTTTTTAGTTACAAGTCTTATAAGCATATATAGTCAGTAGTAATTGCTAGTTATTGGATTATTCTTTGGGATTAATTTGTGTCTTTTGCCTATTATTCCCGAATTATGATAATATGCAGTTAGAGGAATCCAGGTACAAACAGTGTAATTCTGCTGCTGTGATTTTGGTGGTTTGCAAAATGGATTTTAGGTTTTTATTTCAATTTTTGGTTTGTTTTTTAGCCAAGTACCTGTAGTAAAGCAACTTGCTTCTGGTCTACAGATTTTCTTGCCTGCAACTTGATTTGTTGTTTCTGTGTAAAATCTGTACGGCTGTTGTTTGAAAATGGTCTAGTCGCACAGAAACAGTCAACCCACTTAGGGAATTTGGAGATATTGTTTCCATTATCTTGCCTGAATGTAACTTTGATTTATTTTTTTTAAGCAAAATGTTATTCTAGACGTTTCTTAGCAGATTCACATAATGTAAAAAACTAGATGAAGCAGTTGTTTGTTTAAAAAAAATATTTTTTTAGTATTATTTTCACCTTGGGGTTGGAGTAGAAGTTCTAAAATGTTTAGATGAAGATTAAAAGAAGAAATTTTGAACTGTAAGTAAAGGGAGTCGGATTCTATGTTTACCATTAGCCTCTTCTTTGGGAACTATTGTTTTGAATGTCCTACCTGAGCTCATATATTTTAGTAGTAACGAAACCATTGGGATTAGCCAAGATTCAACTAACGTAGAATGTTGTCAATTAATTTTTGCACCTTCAAATGGACTGGGAACCAGGTCTAATTAAGGATATGTCTAGATTTGGAGACTTGAGGAAATCATTGTTCACTTTTAAAGGTTCAGCTTTCAATTAAATTATCATGTTGGAAGTAGAGGAATCCATGGTAATGTCTAGAGTAAGTAGGTACTGCAGCAGTTACTGCGTGCAGGGATTTCTGTTCTCTCCTTGTGAGTTCTTCCTTCCTCCCTTGCATTTGTGCTGCAGTTCATCTAGCAAATTAACTCAGCCAGAGGGGAGAAAGGTGAGCAGCTTACTTCCAGCTTAGTGTCCTACCTGAGGAATCAAGAATACATAGAAGGAGGAAGAAGAGGGCAGGAACTTGTAGGTGTGTTGCCTCAGATCACTTTAATGTGTAGAAAACCTTTATCTGGAAGTGCTGACCTCTGCTAATAAAGTTAAATTAAATTTAAGCGGAATCAGAATCTGAAGCAGCATGTGATGTTATACAAATTCACTGGGTCAGTTTAAATTACAGCTTTACTTAATTAGGATTAATTCTCCTGAGTTGACCTAAAATGTATTTGTGATGTCTTAGCAGGAAATACTGTTAAGACTGATACAGTCTTCACTGTCTCAGCAAATGTCTCTCTTCTTTTGTCATAGTGTTAGCCAAAACTTAATCTGGAAATGTTGATGTATCTGGGAGTATGCTGTTTGTTCAAAGTTGTAGTCTATAAAATGGATTGAAAACTTGTCACATGGAAGCTATATACTTTCTTCCACTTAGGGGAAGTAATGGTTTTTACTAGTTTGACAGTATGCAGAGCAGATCAACTGACTCTACATTGGAAACAAAGATTGACAAAAGCATACAACTTAAATTTTCTCTACATTGGACTTGAGTCAAACCAGGACAGTTAGATACAGGTTCTATCAGTTTTTTAAACTGATATTGTAATTTAAGGTTTAATCTTTGAGCATTACAGGGAGTTGGCAGAGAGAAAAGTTTACTTGTAACTTATCGAGGTATTTTAATGCTCATGGACAAGGACCTAGAAACCAGACTTTAATGTTTCCTGTCAGTGACGTAAACTCCAAATAACAAGTTCCACTGTTGTTCTTGCTCCTTGTCTTTGCTTTAATGTATTAGAAGTTCAGTAGGGAAGAAGGGGAAAAAAAATGTGTTGCAGCCCTGAATGAGTGCATAGCAAAATGGGTAGGGTGATGCTTCTAGGAACTGCACTTCATCTGCCTAAGAGGATTTTGACCAGCCCTCCTCTCACAGTGATTGACTGCTGTGACTACCGAGATACTGTATAAAATGTGGCTACTGACGCTGCTCCCTAATTTAGGTTTGCTAAATCCTCTCCTGGATTTGAATCTTACTGCTTTCTAAGGTCAAGTTTATTCCAGTATCTGGTGTCTTAGGGTACTAAAACACACGTAGTGCATTTCCTTAACAGACTTCTGAAGTATAATGAACTTTGATTCCAAAGCAAGGTAATGATAAAATCCTAGTCGTGATAATTAACCTTGCCAACACTATGCTGAATACAGTGTTCTGCTGGAACAGACTTACTCTTTCTTTACACACTGTGCATACACCATATTCTACTGTGTGTATTAGTACCTGTATATCATATTACTGCTTGTCTTCCTGCTTTTGGGTATCTTTTAAGATGCAACTTCAATGTAAATTGCTTTTGTTTTACCTTACGGGATGTAATGTATAAAAGTGCTCTCAAAGACCTTTTCTGTTAATTTTATATGATCATACCTACAAATAGGAATGTCACTTGAAGACTTTGGAGCATAATGTACTACTGTTACACTACATGTAAATTTTTTCCTCCATCCTTCTCCTTTTTTTCCCCCCCTTTAGGTTAGAAATTCTGTGGCTTACTTTGTGTCAGTTTCACAATTCTGTGGAAATTGAGGTCAGTAAAAAAACCCTGGTGTATTCTGAGCAGTATCAGAATACACAATATCGTACTAAATTCTGCAGTAAAAGTTTGTACTCAAACTTCATATTTTGACACTGTCTGTAAAAAGTTGAAATAGCACTTATTTTAGACAAATGGCTTCTGTATCTGAAAATGTAGCTTAAAAATGGAATAACAAAATACAGTTTTCTACTTGGCTTAAGGCTTTGCTTTCTTACTAATTTAAATTGAGTAGATTTCTAACTCTGTTTAAAGAGTCTTCTGTGAACACATTTCTTGTCTTTTAATCGCCTGACTGCTATTCCAGAGAGTATACCAACTGTGTGTGTTAAATATCCAAGTCTGTGAATGGTGATGTACAATATAGGGACTATCTTCTAGAGAAAAATCATAGTAAGTGGTTTCTTATAGGCCAGATAGGTTACTTACTATTTCTGGATAATTTTTTTTATTAGGCTGCACTGTTCAGAATGTGAAATTGGAAAATGCAAAAAAAAAATTAAGTTTATGTATATTTTCAGTTTGTTTTGAGAAAAACACTGTCATCCTAAGACTGAAGACTGCTGTAGTAAAATTGCAAAAACAATTAAAACCTTTCCTTTTAAATTGCTGTCTTTATGCATCTTACAGAGAGTAATTACATTTTTGTGAAGTATGGTGTTTTAAGGGTCTTATATAGGGTATTTGACAGATGTTCTGCAGTTCTTTCGCTTACATTTTTTTAAATAATGAAGTAGCTACTTATCTCTTACTGATGGCATGGTAAACTAGTAGAAAGAACTATTACATATTTATGTATACCTATATGTTACTATTATAACATAACGTGCTAATCACAGTATTTATCATTGCTGTGCTCTGTGTTTACTTATTTATGCTATAAATTTTTGTCAAAAATAACGAATGCACAAAATACCAGCCACTGAACAGCTGTATCTATTTGTGGTTTGTGTTATCACTTTAGTTGCATGTTTTCGGCTGTTAATAGTATATTAAAAATAAATTAAACCCTTATTTCCAAAACAGTGGCCTGTTCTTGGTAGAAAGGCCAGGGAGCAACTGCCTCATGCAGAGATAAGACAAACCAGCTGATTGGCAGGATTTTTGCTCTATCTCAGGAACATAGTTTTCTGCCCTAGGCAAGTAAAATGGGTTCTTTCACACAGAAGTGAACACTGTGGAGCTTTCTTGATTTTTGAGGCAGCAGCTGCTAGCAGATGCTGAGTTTCTGTAGCACATACAGAACTTGTACAAGGACAAGTTATGATCTTTGGTAGTCTTTTTTTTAAAAAAAAAAAAAAGCTAATGACTTTCTAAAATACTGTGTACTAAAGCACGAGCTGGCAGAGGGTAGAAGAGCAGAGCTGTTTACAAAGCTGCTCGCAAGTATGAGGCAGAGTACTTGAGAGCTACTTCTTGAATCTGTTTTTGTAAGGAAGTGCTGCAGATTTAGCAACATAGAGGAAAATGTATTGCTCCGTGTTCAAAGTCATGTTTTTCCCCTGGTCTCCAAAGTTTGTTGGCTTTTATTCCTGCTTTGTTCCATCTGCACAGGGATACTAGCACGTACTAACCAGCCTTGATACCCAAATTACTGCTGAGGGAGATATACAGCAAAACAATACAACTTCAGCATGTTTTTGATGAAATGCTAGCTCCTAAGGTCTAACAACCAGCAGTCAGGATCCGAAGTTTGTTAGTCTGGGCTTCTCTGCATATGTATGTTCTGGCATACCATACATGTCATCCAGCATGTATATTGAGAAGCAAGCATCTATATGGATTTTGTAGTAGGTTACTATAAATATTGGCCTGCCCATCCATCCTGTACTTGGAACTGACATGCAAGCAGTCTTGTGAAGAAGAAAGGTTATGTGATCACCTGCACATATAGCTTGTTTTGGCTCATGTCAGTTTGTTTTTCTGGCCTGTCAGCTTCAGTGTTCATACATCCATCACAGTGTACAGTAGCTGAGAGTTCTTAATTTCGTTAGTGGTGCTGAAATGTTTGTGCTATTTCTGTCCAGTTAGGCACAAACATGTAGAACACCTCTGAAATTGCCTCATATTCAAACTTGTCCTGTGTTTGGATGAATGACTTGATAGAAGTTTGCAAGTCAAACTAAAAGAAATAGAATTGAGCTTGGAACTTGACGGAACAATCTTTCCCTCCCTGTTAGCTTCACAGTCTTTGCCCTTTTGTATATTACATCACATCAGGCTGGCATACCTGCTTGTAAACTTGGAAGACAGGAGTTGTATGTTTTCAATTGCAGTGATGCATATACAGATAACTGTAGCAAAACCCCAGATAAATTAAAGATTTGTCTATCGCTGACTACTTCTAATAGATGTTTGTCTAACTGTTTAGTAGCAGCATTTTGGGTACTGTGGATCATACTATTATGCAATTCTGAAGATACAGCTAACTTTATAGTTATTGAGAAGTATTTACTGATAGGTAATTATATGAAATATAACCAAGCTTATTACAAATTTAGTTTCTACTTGAAGCTATCCACAGGATTGCGAACATTTTATTCACTTAGTGCATAAATTGTCTCATTGCATTGCACTACTAAGGGAATTGTCTGTCTCTTACTGAGCAGTGGTGGGAATCAGAGTGATCCCTTCTTGTTCCTTCTATCTGAGAAGTTAAGTACTTGACAGGCATGGGATGTTTTGAGGGTTTTTATAGGTGAAACTGGCCATGATCTTGGGGCTTACATCATATTTCAATCAACACTTAAAACCATAGCCAAAAGCTGGAAGATCTTTTAATATAGACCATCCCATTCTGAAAGCTGGCTTTTCTGTTGCAGATCTCCAGCAGTTCTGGTTTAATTTTTCGCTTCCAGCCTCAACTGTTCTGTGATTCTGTGGCCATCTGTGTTGACTTAGAATTTTTCTTTATATATATATATACAGTGTCCAATTTGAAGGAGAAATTTTTCAAAACCTCCAACAACACTTCTGATGTGTACTGAGCTGTCATAAATTATTTCAAAATGTGCAGGTGGAACAGTTAATACCTGATGTCCTGAGAATTTGAATTCTTAATATTTAAGCTATAACAATGTTCATGTAGCAGGTGCTTTTCTTGTTTGTCTGCAAAGGGCTGGACAATACGGGCTGTAAAAGTTTGTACAAGAAAATGCTAATGCTTTCAAATCATTTAAAAAATCCTTTTCCTACTTAAGAAAGGAAGATAAAGCTCTGCTTGGTTTCCATGAGGTAAGAAATGAGCAGAGTCACTTTTTTATGAGTTTACAGAAGTATGATGTATCCTTAAGCATTTAAGAGTTCAATTTTTAATTTTTTATAGTACCTTTGTTAATGTAATTTTGTAAATAGCAACAAACTGTATACATTTTTCACCATAGTGCTATAATAGAGATTGTTTAAATGTTAAATATTCTTGGTATAATTCAGTTCTCTGTATGCAGTTTCTACCCGTGTATGTTCCTTCAGAAGAAGAAAGAAAAAATCCAGTGTTATATGCCAATAACGTCAGACGTGTAATGGCAGAGTAAGTATGTTGTAATATGGAATAAAAATAGATGTGTGATTTTAATTTTAGGATCAAGAAAATGTCATGAAATCAAGTCAGTGTAGTTGCCTGCTTACAAAGAAGTTTGTAGTCTGCAGTAGTGTATACAAAACTTCTTATATAGCAGTTGCCTTCCTCCCTGAGGAGGCTAGGAAGACACAAATACAGCGGAAACTGTAGGAATTGGTAGCGGGAACTGTAGGAGTTGGTGGGTTTGGGTTGTCTTTTGTTTTTTCTAACATATCTTCATATAACAAGCCAGTTCTGCTTGCTGCTCTGAGGGGAAAGGTATAGTTGAATTTTATGAATTTAATGTAAATGAAATTTGTGCTATTGCGGTTGCATTTTAAGCTATGACTTTTTTAATGAGGTTGAGAATAGTTTAATGTATTCCTTGTTAGCCTGTGGTTATTTCAAAAATAAAGCACAGGAAAGCTGCTTCTATTGGAAACAGAGCACTGATACAACACAAACTACTTGAAGTTGTGTGTTAATGAGAGGACACTTAAGAACGCTTGTCTATAATAAAGCCAATGTTGAATATGCAGACCTTCATTCTCTTTTGTTGTATTCTTTATTAACCTCTCTTGTTCATTCCTTTATTTTGTCCTTTCAGTATATCTTCCATTAGTCAGTAGATTTACAGTATTTACAGAGAACGCTCATTAATGGCTCTTGAAGGATTTATGAATCTTTCTAGTCTGAATTTTGAAAGAACTTGTGAAATCTTAATTTCCTTTGTGTAACTTCTCTTCTGTTTCTAAGTTACCGGTTTCAATCAAAGGCCAGTTTGTAGATAGAAACTGGTAATTCTTCTCTGGTTTATAAGCAGAACCCAGCTCTGTGAGTTTCCTTAAGGATGTTGGGCCTATAACAGTAGATCAATAGTCAATCCATTGTACAAAAGGACGTTTCTCACAAAAGAAAAAAACAGAAGGATCTATGTGAATCAACCTGTCTTAGAGTTGCAGTGGCCTCAAAGACGTTTGTAGTTAATTTAAGACCATCAGCTGGCACTAAATTATTGTCCTCAGACTTTATGTAGAAGGATGTGTTATGAAACCTTAATGAACTGAACTCCAATCAGATGACAGGGCTTGTGTGGTATAAGGAGAACTTTTGAAATACAGAAGTTTACAACAACCTGCATGTTGAAAGTCTTCCCATCTGTGTGTACATAGGAGAAGAGAGATGATTTTGCTCTGCCTTTTGTTTCTCCCTCCCACCTCTGAAGAATTAGGCATTCTGGGTAACAGAAGTGGGATGCAGGTCTAAAGGGATGACTGTCTGAATGGGAGATAGCAATTATGGCTTGCTTTGAGATGAAGAAAGGACTGCAGATCCTGTGTTGATGGGAAAGGAAAATAAATGTGTTTGGATATCAAATTTCTGAAGTTAAAATGCAGATGGGGAAAAAAACAGAATGCTGACTCCTGGATACCATGGATTACTGTAGACCAGTTAAAATAACATCAACATAGCCAAAATTTATTTATTTATGACCACTTCCAGATGCTTACTTCTAGTGGCAATTCTCCATATTCTCCCAGTTCATTCATGTGGCTTTTGGTATAGGAGATACCAGCTGAGATGCTGTCAGCCTGTCCTGGAGTCGTAGCAGTTGCAACTCTAGCATCTCAGGTGCTATTTGGTACTAGAAATGCACCCTGCGTTGCTGAATAAAGGATGGGATTACTGCTTCATCTAGATTTGTCTCCTTTTCTTGAAGATTGAATTGGTGACAGTGTACGATTTTGATATCAAGAGGACAATTCAGGATCTGTTTATATGTCTACTTTCCCCTTCATCCCCATAATATTCTTCTGGAAGACGAGTCTACTCCTACTGGCTATTTTACAGCAGCAGAGGTGGCAGTCCCAGATAATAATGCATTTGTGAGTCTAGAACCAGTACTGCAGCAAAACCTTGTCTCTTGCCCTTGATTTCAAAGGGAATTGATAGGACTTGCTGAGTGCAACAATAGGTGTGATTTCTACTCCTGAAATCTGTTTGCCTTCATCATCATCTTGTCTCATGAACAGCTTCTGTTAAGTGTTGAACAAGGCACTTGACAGGATGTCGGATTCTTATGCTGCTTCTACTTGTTTACTGTATGGAGAATTTTTGGTTTTGCCTTACTTGTTTAGATTTTCTGTGGGCAGCCACAGATACGAGTGATGGGGGTCTCTAGGTGTTCCTGTTCACTTATATATAAAACAAATGTTTGACAAAGGAGATGCTGTCATTCACAGAAGTTTGCTTCCTTAGGATGTTAGTTTCTAACAGATGAAAACAGAAATTCAAAGCAGATGAATTTACTTGCCCAAAAAGTGAAATCCAAAGCGAGCCTGACCTTTTGCCCCTCTGTTGCAGGCCAGGGACTTATGGCGTAACTGTTCTCCGGAGCTTCGTGTTCCCTCAGACAGCCATACCAATAGCAAAGGAAAGGCCATTTTTTAACTGCTTTAGTGCTCTGCATGTCTTTATTGTATTCCTTCTCATCCAGGATGACAAAGATTGTATGCTTTTGAAGATGCATTCAAGTGTTAGCCCACCATTTGTATCCTTCTTTTCTGCTGCCATATACCATTTGAGTATGAACACTGGTTTGTTTTTCCTGGACTGTGTTGGGGATGATCATGCCATTGATGTGAACCTTGTGACCAGAAGTTACTCAGTCTGGATTACTATTCTGCAAGCACCCTTTCCTGCTACTTTTCAGCACCCCATTTCACAGGCTTTTTTTTTCTAAACTAAACCTAGCTTATGCTTTAATTAATTCATATGTAATTGGAGGTGATCTCTTCTTGATTGATGGTGTTTCAGTATTTGTGCACTGATCTGTCACCAAATTCCACAAGAATCCAGGTGATACACTTCCATTTTTTAAAAGACACTGTCATGATAGAAAATTAATTTAAGGCTCACGGCTTCTGCAGACCTTTCAGTTGCACCTGTGGCTATTTGCTTCCTGCAATGCTACCTTGTAGTGATATTTTTTGTTGCGGTTCTCATCAGGAGGATGAGCCAGATCTAGTGGTTGATTGCTTTACAGCACCTATAAAAATGCAAAATTTCTTTCTAAAAGGGTATCTTAATCTCACTATGCAATTACCATTTTTTTAATGTCTGTGATCTTCAACCTTTTTTCTCATTGACATATATTTTATTCAATAGCATTGGGCCAAAAATTGGGTCATGTGCAGTCTTCTTGCAGCTGCTCAGCTCACTGTTTCTTCTGTTTTGGGGATTTATCTATGTAATCAGAACTGGAGTTACTCATGCAGGATAGCCACTGCTGCTGAATAGTTACTCCATGCTTGTCTTCCTTCGGATCATTTTCTTATTCTGCACAAAAGGTATATGCAGATTAGATTAATCTACTGTTTAAAGTATGGACCCCTACTTATTCCATATCAATATGCTTTGAATTTGATTTTCTCATACAACCTGTTTTGTTTGAGTGACTGTCATCTTTGTTCCTTCTGGTCTTGCTCTGCTTTCTACTCTGTTTAGTCGATGTCCATCTCATCTACAACATGCTATCAGGAATGTTTTTAGAGTCACTTTCAAATCACTGAAAATGTTGAGTGCTTTTGAATATGGCAACAGTTCATGCAGGTTTATCTTTAAAATAAACAAACAAACTTGTGATATCTTCAGTTTCAATTCACTTCATGTGTTCTTTATTGCTGTAATACAGTTCTAAAACCACCATGTTAGTAAGTCATGTCCCATAGATACATGTTATATTGGCTCACTTTTGTATTACTTACAATTGCAAAATGGTCGTTTCGGTTTTCATGTGTGTTAGCTGTTAGCACCTTACACTGATGGTAGTCAATATGGATTATTTTGATTTGATTTTTGAAATTTATTAATTTCAACAATTACTGTTCCTTCTATGTATTTCCTAGTTGTGTCAAGCTTTCTGGCCTATATTGTTACATTTTATCTATTTATTTTTAATCTCGTCAAAGCATGAACTCGTGATTTACTAGAACTACTGTAGTGTTGGAAAATCATCAGTGTGTAGACTTGAGGCTTCAACCCCAGCTCTTCTAGAATTATGAGGAACAAATCATTTGACCTTGCCATCACAAGTATTTATCTCAGTGATAAAGGAAACATCTCTACCACTGTTAAAGCATTTGAAGTACTTCATTTTATTCATAAGATATGTCATCTTAATTGTTTCCTAATGTGAAGTATTTGTTGCATATGATTTCTTTTTTTTTTCCTCTTGGCGATTTTGCTATCGTCAGTTAGTAATAGGTTATGTTGCTGTTTATAGTCTTTCTTATGCTTTATAAACAATCTTATGCTTCTTAGCTTCATCAGTTGCAACTTCTTCTCTGTCTTCGCCTTTCCATATTGCTTTTATGCATCATAGCTTCTAATTTATTGATACACTTTTAAAGTTCATTTGTTTTGTGGTGGTTTTTTTTCCCCTAAAAAAACTCATTAGTTGTCTCTTCATTGTGGAATTGTAGCCTTTTGCCTGTTGAATAGATTCTTGAACACCTGATTTTCATTAGCACTTTTATTTCCAGAATGTCTCTTCCAGAGACATCTGATGGTTGTAAAGTGATCAAAGTACTGTTTAGGTTATAGAAATACTGCTTTAAAGAAAAAGTAGGTAACTCTTCCTCTCCCGCTTTGCAAAACAAAATTTGTCAGTTTGTTACCTTACTATCCATTAGGGCTCAAATATGTTTAAAAGAAGTACGTCAGTAGCTCAGCTTCTAGTTGCATGTACTGAGCACTATTCATTTTGTACACAAATAAAGCTGTGGTAGTGCAGGCAGCTAGTTGTGAAAATCTGCACTGCTGGCTTTTTGTGCAAGTCTAGAGTAACCTCCCTCATAATTACAGATGTAAGCTCCTTAAATAATTATACATATACCTGTTGGACACTTACTAACTTATATGCAATTAGATCTGCTTTAGTTTGTTAGTTTCTCTTAGAGAGGTTATCTTCAA